GGGGGATAGAACAAGGCTATTAGCAGCATGGTCCTTACATACCACTGAGAGGTTTCTACCAACCCTATTTATAAAGTTTATGTCCTTGTGATGTTGTTTAAGTATTTTACCAACTGAGAAGGGGTTTATTTTATTTATTTGTTTGTCCTGAACGATAACTTCAAAAGGTCCCTTGTTTTCAGAAGAGTAAAACTTAACAGCATTAGTTTTTCTTTTGGGTGGGGGGAATTATGGTAATTTAGTTTCTTATTTTCGTCAGTTGGTGACAACTGATCATGGGGTCTTTTTGTTGGGGTATTTTCTATATTTGGGTTGGTGGAGTAGGAGTGATCCATTATTGAATCAACCGCTTTTGCAGTTTCTAGGTCCATTTGATTGGTTTCTACATCATTTTCGGACGACATGGCTAGACCTGGTGGCAGGTCAGGTCCAGCCGAACGAGTGTGTAGAGGGAACTTGACAGAGTTTTTGGTTAGTTACAAATTAAGGAATAAATGTTAACCAACAACAGGGGGAAGGGTTGTACCATAGATTAAACATACTCCCTTAGTAGATTCCCCGCCGGCATGTTATAAGGTGAGGACGGCTAAAACGGGGCAAACTTCAGTGCGCTCTATCCGGGATTTCTAGTACTAGCGCTCTAGGCGGCATCAGTGCAATGGCGCAACCTCGTGGCGATGAGAGGAAAAACGCAACGACAGCATTCGTCTGCGAGAATGGCCCAAGCCAGAGCCCAACACACGGTCGGCGCCGTTGTTGCCGTACAGCTACATTTTACAATCATACGCGAATATAGTTTTTCTGTTATTTTATACGAAGTACAAAAGAAGCTCATAGTCATGGAATAAAAGGTGTATAGTGTAGGCCTACTATAAATAACCGATCATTCATTCATTATTCATTACCAACGAATCATTTTTAAATAAATAATAAAAAATAAACCCTTATTTCCTACATAATTCATACTTTTCCCAAATTACATGTTTTTCTTTAAATTTTGTCGGGTGGAGATGAAATCCTTATGGACACTCAAAAATCCGTATTCGAGAGTAGTGTACGACTGTTACTGGCAAAAAACTTCGCAAAGTTTTGTTTAAAATAAATGAAGTAATGTATGTGATTTGAGAATTTAATTTTGAAACGCTTTATGAACTGGAAATACAATTAATTATTATTTGTATTAGAAAGTAATTGCGAAACATTAGGTAAGTATTTATAAACAATTTAAATTTAAGGATCCAAAGAAAATAATTATGAAATGTTTAACTCATCAATGTATTTAATTTGACGTTTTATATTTAATCACTTGACTCTAATGTTTACACAATAACATTGTAATACTATGTTTTAATAACATTAATCATCGTACAGCATTTTAGGTTACTTAATCTACTTACACCCAAACAACCTAATCACAGCAATATTTATATCATGCATCCTAACATAACCATATATAACATAACCAACAATTAAAAACGAATTGTTTACATTTAAACAATTTTCATTACAATTAAACTAAAAAATGTAAGTATAATTTTTCGTACATTAAATTTCGTCAATACCATTGATGACATTTATTAAGTTTTCGTAGAGTGCATTGTATAATGAACTTATTTAAAGCACTTGTGTGTTGTTTTTTAGTGCCTTCGACCTTTGTTTAGCCATTACCAGCAATTTTGCGGCTTATCCACGAACTCAGTTTTCTCGGTTTAAAGTAGGTGTACGGTTTTGTAATATAATATTGTAAGGCAATGCTTAGAGTGTTTAAAATAAGTTGTTTGTCAATTTTTAAATTGAAATAATAAAAAAACAACTGCAATGCAAAACTAAATGTAAAAAAAATAATCGAATTAAGAATAGTATTCTTCACCTGGTCCGCGGTGACGGTGGTTTGTGGGTGCGTACACTATAGTGTGACCTTGGGTTAGCCCAGTCCTTTGAAGTGAACGCGTGCCGCCTGATGCTGCCCTTCCAACCCCGCCACCATGTGACGTTGCATCGGAAGCTACCACCAGACACTGCCATTGTTAACACGTGCATTTACACTCACTGTTTTCTTTAGTTTATAACGTTTTTTACATAGAAATATTGTACTAAATTTTATAAAAATCGGACCATTTTTGCTCGATTTATCGCGCTAACGTACACACATATATATATACGCGATTTGCGCGATGAATTTCAACGGATGGTGTTTTACGGCCTCTAGGGACCTCAAAGCAAAATAATTAAATCGGCCCCGGGTCCAGGTTTTACCATGAGTACTACGGTAATAGCTTATTCCCTATATGGGAAATTCGCATATGTTCGGAAATAGTTTCAAGAATGTTTTAACATGTTGGGCTGCAGGGTATTGATTACATGGTTATTGTATAACCTATTTGTGGCGTAGACTAGGATAACTAACCTCCCTGATTCCGTGCACGACTCATCACAGTTCACAATCGCTTTTTGAGCACTATTTCCTAACCACTGTGAGTCCGGACTGTCTTGAGATCCTGCATGGAGGAGAAGAAAATCGGAAAAGAAATACCAAATTTAACTCCTAAAAGAAATGTACATGGAGGAAGTTTCGTTTGTGCATAACTTGAATTAGACTCTAGCTAAACGAATGCCGATGCTTGATGGCAAATCTGTGCGTGTATACCTTGAATTTTAGACCAAAATTATGAAAATCTGTCTGTTAAAAGAGCCGAACCTACTCGTATAACTAAGAAGAGAAAACCTAAGAATTTTGTATAGGTCTATATATATCACAATAATAAATTCCTTAACTAACAGTGTTGTAAACTTCTAAAAATGTATCTTTGTAAAAAAAATCAACCTACTTTAAATTTAAACACTCTAAAAATAATTAAATAAATCTTTCAAAGTAAACTTTTGTAATGTTCAAGTTCACGTATTTGAAGTCTATGATGATGTTTGACACAACATACTGAAAATTTAAAGAGGATGTCCACATTGCAGGTGGTTATCTATAACTAATGATGTTAATCTTAATGTTTTTTCAGAGTTTTGCGTTTGGAGTTATTTTATTATTGTAACCCATCATTGGCAGATACCTTTTTAAAGTTTTTTTTTATAAGATAATAAATTATAATCCTATAGTGATATTAACTAGTATCTTTTAATGATAATGCATTTAAATATTTTTAATTTGGATAAGTAACGTTTTAATATTGACCTAGCCTCTTTCCCCTAACATAATATCAACATAATTTGTTTCTTATTCATATATACAATTAGTGTGTCATAGTTGCATATTGCATTCATTCAGAAGTAAATATAAAATACAAGTAAATACTTCCTTGGTATAAAAAACAGTGCTTATGTTTATTATATATTTATGTTACCTATCCTGTTATGATTTTATTGTTTTTATTATTTTAGAGGGTTTGAAATCGGTTGTTTTTTTACAAAGATAAATTATTTCATCTTATTAGTGACTTAATTCTAATTTGTAACATATTTATTACTTAAAGGGTTTTTAAAAGCAAAATTGTTTGGACCGATCAAGAAAGTTACTGAACAGTTATTATTTTAAAACTGCTTGAGTCACCTGTTCAGGTTACATAATTCCTGGTTATAAAAATTTGGTAAACCAGGTGATGAATTGGGATTGCCAGAAATTAAATCGATCGAGAGCTGCACAACCATTTCGGTCCGTGGTACGAACTCTATTTTTTACCACACTATACCCTATTACCTATCTTTTGCAGCCAAACATGTTTTTTGTAAACCGACGTAGCCTAAAAGTTTTATGTCTTAAAATCAATAGGAAATAAGTGTATTGTTCGATTGGAATAATGTTACCAATGATATACTATAATTTTATTGTTATGATGTTTATTTTATGGTGTTGATAACAGAATACAATTTCAATACTCAAAACGGAGTTATACAAAATGCAGGTCAAATGTTGAAATACCTTTTTCATAGTAACCAAAACAAAACACCTAGTAAACTCAAAGTCAGTTATTTAGGCTCCATGGCATGAAATATATTAAGCAACTTTTTCATGAAGGTCTGTCTCTGTACCTTTATCGTTGGTTTAACTAACAGTTGTGAATATTATTATTATTTATTGCTTTCTCTGTAAAAATATTAACAAAATAAATATTTTATAAAGGTTTTCAGCATTTTTTCACTGGAACCAATATTTAGACATACACTTAAACATAATGTTATATATGGTACCAAAGGGAAACCATGGTTATTTTGGGAGTGGAACCACGCTGATCGGTATAAAAATCCCAGAGAAATTGATGAACATCTATAGAAAAAATACATTGGCACAAACGAATTGAGAACCTCATTCTTTTGTTGGTAGTGGGGAAGTCGGTTAAAAATACTCACAAGTAACAAATACAATAGATGGCTATTCAAATAAAAGAACAATTAATTTAATTATCAACATCACATTAACTAAACCAGAACAATCGCAATAAAACGCTGGTGGAAATACAGTTAGCCGAGGCTCTGCACGTACAAATCACGCTGTATGGAATCAAGCTGGGTGTGAGTGTCGTGGTCGTGTGTAGGCCTATGTGCCAAGGTGGTATTCCTTGCTCGCTGGTGCTCAGTGCTGGCGCGTGGCGGGGCACGCGGGGCTTGTGGACGCGTGTGCGAGAGCTATAACGCGGTAAGAGTGTGTTTGTGTGTGTGGCTGTACGGCGAGACCTCTAGCGCTCCTAGCCTGACCGTACTGAACTACGTGGGCAGCACGCAACTTCGCCGTACAAGCGCTCGAACATACCGACCCCTATCCCGCGGAGAATCTACTAAGGGAGTATGTTTAATCTATGGTTGTACATAAAACACATATAGTACGTTACCCCATACAAAGGACGACTCTGTAATTAAGTTATCAATAACTACAAAATTAATTATAGGATTAAGAAAGCCACAGAATTAGAATTCGCAACCTAACGGTTATGGAATCTGAACATGGAATGAACCATAGATATTATTACTAATGATAATGTTTATTTCCTCTACAGCTTTGAAAGTGTGTGTATACTTGATGTCTGATGTGGCATTGCACATGGAGTTGGAGGATGGAGTCAACACCACAGTAAAGGAGTTGACACAAGCTATTGTCACTGAGGAACAGCTTGGTTTGCCTCGCTCTGCAGCAAATATCTTTACTCTCTGGATGTGCTCTGGATTGCTGGGTAAGTAAAAACAAAACCCAAAACAAGAAAAAGACTTCAACCTTGTTCAGCTTTGTCACACTATTGTCGCACTATCCATCACACATTAACTGAAACCTGGGGTAACCGAATCCATAATAATAAATTCAAATCAATTTGAAAATAAGGTCAACATTGGGAATAGTCCGTCGTGGTGCGGGAAGTTGGCTTGGCTCTGCCAAAAAAGGTTTAATGAAGCAGACGATGACATAAATCTCAAATAGTTCAGAATACAAATGTAATGTTGATTATTTTTAGAAATAAATTTTGGATACAGTTGTAGATCTTACTAATATTATATGTTAAATGTAATGAATGTAAGCTCCATGTATTATAAATTATATATATAGATTTATAAAACAAAAATCTGTTAGCTTTAGCTATCTATCCTAAAACAAATGATACCTTTTATAAATAACTTGTATTCTTAAGATTCTGTTATCCAGGGGCGGATTAAGGCCTTTGTTTTTGGCGTGGAGTAGAGTGGTTTAGGAGGGGCACTCCCAGGGGGTCTGGGGAGTACAGGGGGTGTCTGGGAAAAGTTTGAACAATTAAGAGTGAAAAACCGTAAATCTAGGCTTAAAACTACAACTTTTTCTTACATAAAATACTAACAACTTTTTCTTACATAAAATACTAAATATTGTTATGAGATTATCTGTCATTTAAATAATTTTCCTCTATGTTTCTTTTACAGCGGTGCTATCATTATTAATGCAGTAGCTTACTAGCTTCTCATTTTCTTCTTCCAGAAACTGGTGAGAACCATTTCTGCGAAGGAGTGGGGGATTGTGGGAGAGCCCCTCATGTCAATTTAAGAAAATCTTTAAATTTATTTTATAATTTTTTAGTTAGAAAATTAACTTTTTAATTATAAAATAATTTTTAAATTTTTAATTATTGAGCGGGGCGAGCAAGCTCTTATACGTCGACTCTTATGCATTTCGTAATACGCAAACTCCTCATAGACGGCTGAAGCAATCGTTTTCAAATTTTGCATGGTGATAAAGACCATATCGGTGAGTGCTAACATCTATATGACGTCAAACAAATCTCTTAGGAATCCGCCCCACGGGCCCTCAAAGTTTCAATGTAATCCTTATGGAAGCAGTATTTGACACATAAACAAAGGCATAAGATCAGCTGGTGACTTTTGAATGAAGTAGATTTAAAGAAATAGCTGATAGCTTTATTCCACGGATATTAAAACAGAAGCGGTATGGATCATTAATAATATAATCAAATGACGACACTAGCCTGAATCGTATACTAAAAGCCTTAACATCTTGTTTGGACGATTATTAACAGTTCCAGTTTGAATAATAAAACAAACATGTTTGCTTTGAGTCCATCCAACTAAATTAACAGTTGAAGTTGAGTTTGAAGGCTTGTTCTAGGCTTACTTGGGGAAAACTTACGCAATATTTTTAGTAACCCCTATATTAGCAATGAATTGGTTTGTGAATTAGTATATGATTTAAAAATTTGGGTTTTCTTTTCCTAGTTTGTTTGGCTCTTCTACCCGACCGATTTTCATGATTGAGGCCTCAAATTGAATGTGTGCAAGCGCAGATTTCACATCAAGCATCGGCACATCTACAGTCCCACTCGGCTTATACTTCCTAAACAAAATTCAAAATTTCCCATATATTTCTTATGGGAGTTAAATTTGGTTTTTCTTTCCGGGTTCGTTTGGCTCTTCTACCTGACCGATTTTCATGATTGAGGTCTCAAATTGAAGGTACGAACACAAATATTTGCCATCAAGCATCGGCATATATTTATCTACAGTCACACTCGGCTTATAGGTAAATCAAATTTGCTCCCCATGTATTTCTTATGGGAGTTAAATTTGGTTTTTCTTTTGCGAGTTCGTTTGGCTGTTCTACTCGACCGATTTTCATGATTGAGGTCTCAAATTGAAGGTATGCACGCAAAGTTTCACATAAAATATCGGCATATATTTATCTATTACTCGACCAAAAAACATAAATTTAATTTATTTTAGAATTTTTACTTCAATTTAAGATGTATTTCACCAGTTATCTATATAAATAAAATTTGAGTTTTGTCTGTACATTGCTCAGAATTATAAATTTGTAGGTTATTTTTACGTTTTATACATTAAAGAAGCCGAAACAAGTCTCATCTAAATTTCTGTCTGTCTGTCTTTCTGTAACACTCAAGATGGCATTTTACGCAATCTTCTCCAGGAAAACGAGAGTACCTATCATGATCCAAGTAATTTTAATGTATTCACTGGATTGGCTGTTGTTATTGTAAAACTTGAGAGGGAGAGCCTCCTCAAATATGTTTTGAACATTTTGGAAAAAATGTACACAGTTTTCATTAAAGCAGTTTTTGGAATTTACATTCCATGTGGTAACTTTCAATCTACCTACAATCTTGTTAATATTGTTCTCGGAGAATAGCCGTTTTTTACTTTTGACTTTTTTGTTTTGTTTGTTATCAGAATTACTAAAAATATTTATAAATATTGCCCTATGGTCAGAAAGTCCTAATTCCATATTCATTGTTAAAACTGAGTTTTGAGACTTCATTTTATGTGTTACGACATTGTCAATGCAAGGCTTTGTAGATTTGGTGATTCTTGTGGGAGAAGTAAAATTGAGTATGAAACCGTATTGTTTTAACAAGGACATAAAGTCTAACCTTTGTTTGGGAAGGCTACAATCTTCTAACACATCTACATTAAAATCTCCTGCTATAAATATATTTTTTGTTTTTGAAGATTTACATAACATTTTAAGTAAACTTTCCATCTTATATAAAAAAGATTTGAATTTTTTTTTTAATGGAGTTCATATAAATTGAGATTACGATAACATCCAGAGTTACAATTTCGATACACGAGGCTTCAAAAACTGAATCTTTTTTTAGGACACATAAGTCATCTCTTACAATATATTCTAAATTATGTTTTAATAAAATACAGGAACCGCCATGAGTACCTGCATCCCTACAATAAAAATGAGCCAGATTGTAGTTAGGAATGCTATTTAATACTAACACATTATTCTTTTTAATCCAATGTTCATTCAAGCAAAGCACAGAAATATTTGAATTTTCCAAGATAATTTCCAAATAATTTTTTTTGCTTATAAAACCACCTTCAATATTCAAGTGCATTAACCATAGAATATTTTCATTTTGTTTACAATCTGGCCATATCAAATTATTTCTTACAGCTATTTTACAATTAATGTCAGACTTGCTAAAGAGTTTTTTTGTTGTTGAGAAGCTACTGAAACAGCAGTAGTCTCTACCACTGTTGCCAGCGAAGATGTGGTTGGCTCAGGTGTTGAGTAGGGGCTGCCAACAATTATTTCGTCCGAGACGCATGTAGAGGCTGTTAGAGGCTGCAAAACCTGGCTCAGGCTAGTGGGTTGCTGCTCTTCTAGTCCGGTACTCCGCTTTTCCACTGCTCGTAGGTGTGTACCATCTTCTATGGGCTCTTTTGGTAGTAAAGCCAGCTCCTCAAGCTGAGACATTGCTTCTAAAATTTCACTCTGAAGAACCACCAAAAACTGATCATGTAAAAGACCCTTCCAAAGTGGTTTTTGTGCTGTAGGTTGGTCGCATGAAACAACACATATTTTTGCATTGGTTCTTTTTTGGAAATTCACAATATTTTGAGCAAAATGCTGCACATCGATTTGGTCACGGACACTTGATATTTCAATATTGTTTTAAATAATTTAATAAACTCGGACAAATGAAACTCGGACAGCTAATTTTTCAAATATTTTGTAATTTTTAACTAACTCGGATAGTTGAAAACTCGGACAAATGAACCTCACCCGTACCAAGTTGCTCAAATTTTTTCCATGGCTATCTGCAAAGATCATTAGTTTGGGCTGTGCAATATTCGGGTTCAGTTTACGATCACTCATTAGTTTACGAGTGTGACTTGTGTGGTTAGGTGCTGTTAGGATTACGTTATCTTCCGAACTATCTGTAGTAATATTCTCGATTTCATCGTTATTTATTGACTGGAGAATGCTAAAACAGTTTTCACAGGTGATCCCTACATTTTGTATGATGGAGTTGTTTTGTCCACTGAATGACTTAAAACCATTGTTTACTGTTTACTCCATTTCTTAACTCGTTTAGCTCCTTGGTTAGGTTTTCATTATCCGATTGTAGCATCTTTATCACTAACTGCTGGTTTTTACACTCTAATTTGTATTTATTTAGCTCCTTAAGTATTATTTGTGTCTGAAAGTCGTTTGATCCTAATTGTAAGGTACTAGGTGTTTGGTTATCACCAACCTGAGTTGCTGGACTATTACCTATACTAGAGTTAAGGCTTAGATCTTCATAAAAACTACTGCAAGCATTTACTTCTTTATCCTGTACAACACTATGTGGTACTAGGTTCACATCTAAAACCATGTTATCATTTTCAGTTAGGTGTGGTAGACAAGGGCTGGGGGATTCTGCTTTACTATTTAAAAATATTGAAGGTCGAGGTGAGTCGGAAGTACCTTTTGAGGGTTTGTTTTTCACTACTGGAGTATTAGGGTGAGAAGGAACATTTTTTAATCTTCTCCTTTTATTAGTTAGACTTTCTTCTATTTCTTTCATAGCATTTGTAAGAGACGATTTTTTGATTTTGGATTGCCATGTTTATGTTTGTTCTCAAGATATGGACTTATGTCTAATTCCTTTACCAGTGCAGTTTCGTTTAGTGCCGAAAAATGTGACACTATATTTTATTATTTTACTTGAAGTATCAGTAGAATCTATAATGGCAGGCCAGTAGGGGTAGCCTTTGATTTTAGCAAAAATCTGTTCTTCTGCTTTATATTTGGGTCTACATTTATTTTCCATTGCGAAACAAATATATAAATAAATAATTAATTTACTTATGAATACAAAATTTTATTCATTTTACCATGCATTCACTATCACAGTTCTCAGCAAATAAGTCAAACAGATAAGTCATGTAAACAAACCAATGTTGTGGTGGAAGGCAGGACAGAGAGAGATAGTTGACAGGTCACTGATTACAAGAGTTTGTGCCGGGTTAGGTTTTCCTGGTGTAAACCTTTCAAAAGTTAATAGGGGTGTCCATACTTTTTCTCAATTCTGTGTAGCCTATATGAATGCAAACAAATGGTTTTTTTTTGGCTCTGGGGACATGCAAATGAGAAAGGAAATCGGTCTCGGGTATAGGTTAACTATGATTGTCCTACGGTAAATAGCTTATTCACTATATGGGAAATTCGCTAACAATAAGTCTTGTTTGGGTTAGGCCTATTTAAAATATAGTGGCACTTTTTAATTACTTTTTCAAAATATCTCTATAAATAAACCCTTGTAAACTTATGACGAACTACGGAAAGTGTCTTTTGACTTTTAGACTAGTATTAAATGACCATGTAGTGTAAATATAAAAAATTAACTAGTTAAAGCTATTTAAAATGGAGCTAAGCATTGATTTTATTTTGTTGTAGAACTTCGTCTCAAACCACATCATCAACCATTCGCTGTTAGAGCTAAGTGGCCTGATCTCCTAGTCAAGTACGCACATGCAACAGAGTCTCGCCAACGGAGGGATGAGCCAGTTCTTTCATTTCAACGCAATGTATTTGTATCAAGATCTGTTGATGAAAGGGTCAAGTGAGTTGAAAAACAATGTTTTTGTGTTCGTTTTTTTAAGAGGTTAGCAGCTCCTTTTACAAACCTTGCATATGCATGTACTAAAAGGCTAAAAACCTGTGCAAGGAACCAAGGAACGTATCCAGCAAAGCAAAGGTAGTAGTGGCAGGTGGACTTGAACCCACGACATTGTTGCCTGTTGCCTTGAGCCCGAAGCCTGTAGCACCACTGACTCACCTAAATTATAGGGGTATATTTCTGCTTGTCGTTTGTTTTCCTTGAGATAAAATTGGTAGGTATTTTAAGCCAAGTATGAATGGAGATGAGTGTAGGATGAGTCTAACAGTAATCTTGTAGCATTCGGCATTTTTCCGAATAAACTAAAACTTTCCCAAATCTCGCCAATATTTAAAAAGGGCCTAAAATCGGATATTAACAATCACCGTCCAATTTCTGTATCGAGTAAATTTTCTAAAATTTTTGAGAAAGTCATAAATTTAAGATTGGTTAGTTATTTTGAAAGTAATCATCTATTTTATAACAAACAATTTGGATTCAGGAAAAATTTAAAAAAATTCTGCACTCAGACATTTTATAAATGAGGTTACACAAGCTTTGGACAGGTCTCAGGCTACAGCTGGTGTTTTCTGTGACCTGTCCAAGGCTTTTGACTGTGTTGATCACTCAGTCCTTCAGATCAAGCTGAGTGATTATGGGATTAGAGGAAGTTGTCACTCTCTATTGTGTTCTTACCTTTCTAACAGAACACTGGATAAGATCAAGTACTATTCACCATGGGAAAACCTATCGGCAGGTGTGCCCCAAGGTGCAATCTTAGGTCCTCTATTCTTTCTGATTTACATTAATGACCTCACTAAAGCTATTGACTAGGAACTAATTATTTTGCAGATGATACAACAGCCTTAATAAAAAATAATAGTACTTCTGAAATGCTATCTTCTCTTGAAAATGTGGTTCATGACATGGAGGGTTGGTTCTTGAACAATCTTGAAAAAACGCAAACAATTAAATTTTTTGTCAGAAACAATAGTAATAAAATTTAATCCCTTAAATTGGCAAAGTCTCATAAATTTCTAGGTGCATACATAGATTAATCACTTAAATGGAATGTACATCTGAATCAATTAAAAAATAAACTTAGATCCATGTCAATTGTATTTCTGCACTTAAGGGACTGTGTTCCTAACAAAACTCTCAAAATGATTTATCATGCTTATGTAGAATCAGTATTGAGATATGGTATAATCTTTTAGGATCAGGCTACTGGAGTCAAATCAACATTCAGGCTACAAAAACACATTATCTGTATTATGACCAACTCTCATCCACGTAGTTCATGCAAAAACCTTTTCGAAATTTAAAAATCCATACCCTAACAGGATTTTACTTTTTGGAATCACTAAACCACATTCATTCAGCTAAAAACGACCTCCAAGAATCAATTCAAATCAACCATAGATATAATACTCGAAACATTTTTAGATTTCCAAGGCACCGTTTAACCCTTTATTATGATCGTCTCGGCTTGTGATGAGTCTATGCCCCACCGGAGATCCCGGTGCAATTAGCGACCTGTGTACTGGTGGACTGGCGAGATTGCGGAATTGCGTCGGTAAGCATTGAGAGCCAGAAAACTTGCTACCAGGGCCAGAGAACCTGTAGACAGACGTCATAAGTCGGATGTTTACAGAGTGGCTAGGAGGTCTCTTCGTCGAGCCATCAACCGGAGTAAACGCAGTTGCTGGGAGTCGTTAAGGGAGCCACTATGGAGAGGATAGTCGAGTCCCGTTTCCCGGCTCACACGTTGCGCCCACTGTGGGATTCGGAAGGGTGGATGACGTACCACTTTTCAGTCTTGGAAAGATGGAGGTGGCCATCCTATCCCTGAAGAACAATAAGGCACCTGGACCCGATGGGGTACCCGGCGATGTCCTCAAGAAGGTTTTGACTACTATAGTCCTCGCCACCCTAAGTTGAGGCAGCGCAAGGCCGCACTAGATACACGCCGTGCGGCCTTTGGCTTCCTCAACTTAGGGTGGCGAGGACTATAACTCCTTGATCCTTTTGCGCATGTACAATGCCTGCCTAGTCGAAGGAGTTTTTCCCTCGTGCTGGAAAACCGCTTGGCTTGTACTTGTTGGGAAAAAAGGAAGACCCAGACCTGCCATCCTCTTACAGACCTCTGTGTATGTTTGATATGGCTGGCAAAGTCCTCGAGAAGTTGATCCGTTCCTGACTGAATTCAGCCGTGGTCGCTGCGGGGGACCTGCCCCCTCGCCAGTATGGATTCAGGATGGGGTGATCTACGGTTGACGCTGTTGAGGAGGTGAAGCAAGCCGTGATGAGAGCTGAGAGTTTTAACCACTACTCTCGTAGGGTTGTGCTGCTCGTAACAGTCGATGTGCGAAACACATTTAATTCTGCGAGGTGGTGTATCATAGAGGATTATCTCCGGTCCCGCCTCCTGAGTGTCACTTCCGGTGCTGCCCAAGGTTCCATACTCGGCCCAGACCTTCAGAATGCCGCATATGACAGACTGAGGAAACGGTTTTGGTTGGGTACGCAGACGACGTTGCAGTTTTGATAGCTGCACGTAGCGTTGATCTGGCTCAGCTAAAGCTGAACCGAGTTAGGCATACCATAAACGCATGGATGGCAGAACACGGTCTCTCACTTGCTTTAAGCAAAACTTAGATTGTGATATTAAAAAAACACATCATCGTGTTTGTTTTTGTTTTGACATCATCGTGCTGTTGAAGGTAGGGGCCGTTGAAGTCCAGACTGTTCGTTCTGCCAAGTACCTTGGGGTTATGGTGGACAGCAAGCTTAGCTGGCGGGATCAGATTTTCCGTACAGCGGACAAGGCCGCCAGGGTGGTTCCCTCTCTTAGCTGGTTAATGGCCAATGTCGGAGGGCCCCGGTCCAGCTGTAGAAGGCTGTTAATGTCTTCTGTCCAGTCCGTACTCTTGTACGGTGCTGAGGTGTGGGCAGACGCTCTCAATAAGGAGGTATATAGGATGCGGCTCGCCCGAGTGCAGCGTCAGGCAGCACTAAGAGTTGCATCCGCCTACCGAACAGTGTCCGAACGCTGGTGGTTGCTGGAGTCATCCCCGTAAAACTTTTGGCGGGGGAGGGAAAGGCAATTTACCAGCGCCGTGTGGAGGACCAGGCACAAACAGAGGAATGCACCTGCACCTACCAGCTGTGGCAGGAGAGCTGGGAACAGGAAACTCGAGGACGCTGGACCAGGCGACTGATACAGCAAGTCCAACCTTGGGTTAATCGGCGTTGCGGAGAGGTGGACTTGCACCTCACGCAATTTCTGACGGGTCACGGTTTTTTCCGGTCGTACCTGTTCAGGATGGGCATAGCCGTGTCACCCGATTGCATATACTGCCCAGGCATTCCCGATGACGTGGAACATACATTTTTCCACTGCCAGCGTTGGGAAAGGCCCCTCTTCGAGGCTCAATGGTTAGTAGGACTGCTGTCAGTGGACACGGTCATACCGATGATGACGGAGGGTGAGGACAATTGGACCTGTGTGTCACATGATATCCAGGGTATTCTCTGCGCCAAGAAGCTTGACCTTGACCGGGATGCGGTGTAGGTCAAAAGTATCTAAATGCCAAAAACGGTGAGAGCCCTGAGGGCTTAGGTCACATGCTGGCCTGACTTGAAGTAATGTGACAAACAATTCCAGGTCTGTGTCCAACAGAGTATAGGGGGGTTTTTTAGTGAGTAGTCTGTGATAGATCCAGGAGTCGCACACTACAGGCCCTCCTCTCTTTCCCTCCTCTCCCTAAAAAGACCAAAAAAAAAACACCTTTTATGAAAAAAGGCCGCCATATGCTGGGCTGCGGCTGTACAATGTGCTGCCTGCAAACTATAAATGGATAAGTGAAAATAATTTTAAAGATAAAATAGGCGAACACTTAATTGACGGAGCCTTTTATTTAATTGCAGATTTTCACAATACCCCTTTAGTTAAGAATAGTTTTTCATTCAATTTTGTTAATTTACATTATATCTTCTTAATTAATATTTTATTTGTTATATTCTGATAATTTATCTCTGACGATGCACCTATTCTGTATGCACCAACACATGTAAAGAATGTTATAGGCAAATAAAATATGTCTATGTCTATGTAGTCTTGTTACTGACTAAGGCCGAGATGTTCCTTAGTCAGGACTGTTAATAAATAGCCCATACAGCTAATGGCAACTAAGGGACTAATGTGGCCATCGCTGTCCGGGCTCTTCCTTGCTCAATAGTAGTAAATGTCTGCTCCAACATACCAGATCTAAAAGCACATGTTTGACCCATATTATCCTATGTTATATTTTTTATATGTATCCTGGGTGGCAGTGGCAATGGCGGATAAAGTGGACGTGCTAGTGTGCCCAGTGTGTAAGTTTTTATGTACAGACAAGGAAAAAGTCTATTATGTGACGGGTTTGTGGTTCATGGCACCACGCCAAGTGTCTGAACATTAATGCTAAAAAGAATAATCATATTAGAAGGGATGGACGGGATTCAATTTTTAGTTTGGGATGGGATGGGACGGGACGGGATTTTTTTCTGTGCATAAAAAGAAAATCTTGAGTATTGCAGTTACCGAAAAAGACAAACAAAATCAATTTTTACCGTTTCCCATGGTGAATAATGTTTGTTGTTATCTTCTAAAATTAAAGTTCTTTGTTTTCTTTCAGAAAGGTAAGATTGTATTAAAGAAAAGCAACTTCCCCCAATCCCATAATCAATAAGTTTTAGCAACAGGAGTGAGTGATCCACACAATCAAAAGCCTTAGACAGGTCACAGAAAACACCTGCTGTGGCCTGGGACCTGTCCAAGGCCTTCCTTGGTCACGGCGCGATCGTCGGTATGACTCCGCGGTCACGGGGTGATCGTCGGTCTGACTCGCGATCACGGCATGATTGTCAGTATGACGGTCACGGCGCGATCGTCGTTACGACTCGCGGTCACAGCGCGATCG